TAAGTCGCACATATGTGAATTACACCAGGCTGGGTCAGGAAATGGAGATGCAGATCCACCCCCCACTGCTTTTGTTACTGTCTCTTCAGCACCTATTAGAAGCAGCCAGCACTGGTGAAAAGTATCATCTACTAGTAGCAAAACAGAAGACGAGTGAATCCCTGCCATCCCCACTGAAATGCTCTCCTTCCAGGGCCCAAGGACGCGGAAACAGAGACTGAATGAGCGGTGCTCTAAATTACAGCAAATGGTTCTTCACCTATGAATAAAATCATAGTCTTTCAATTTCCTGTAAAAAGAACTCCATCATGCTTCCCTTTGCAAGGGCTCCTTGCCACACACAGTTTCGGACTACATTTCCTAAATCTCAGATTACTCTTGGAAGAAGAATGGCATCTGCAGGAGACAGGCAACCACCTCCCAGCAGTGTCCATAACACAGCATGGCAGCAGGCACTACGGGGCACACAGGCCTGCTCACAGCCACAAAGTCCTGAAACTTCTCTTTCTTTTACAGAGAAGTTCTCAGCTCTTAGACTTACACTCAGGCATCAACAAGCTGCTCTGGTTGCTCTGGGTAGCAAGGAACTGATCACAGACTCAAAGAATCACTGGGATTGGAAAAGACCTTCAAGATCATAAAGCCTAAGCCAGACCACGTCAAAAGCCAGGACCTGGAATTATTAAACCAGTGTTGGCCACTGCCACCAGCCTGGGGCAGAGTTCAGTGAGCAAGGATGCTCATGGGGCTAGAGCTGACTCTTCTGAAGGTGGATTAAAGAGCAAAATCTGTCTGTAGCCTGTTGCAGGAAGAATATATGTAATGTACTGTGCAAAAAGGAAAGAGGGAGCTGCTACAAAAAAAAATCGCCAACAATGGCACAGGAAAATCCTTCTGGCTTGAGACCTACTGTGCAGTCTGACACAATGAGGTGAACCTTAGAAACAGAAAGTCTTACAAAGAGCTTCACCACAGTACAGTGTTCCTCCATCAGACTGATCAGTGCCGCAGTGAAGGGACCTTTAAGGATGTGTATAAACATATGTGAGAATTTAAAGGGACTCCAGCCTACCATTCTGTGTCATGCTGTAATGTCCTTGCTTGCCACACAGGACAGCCCTGGTACCTCTGCTGATGCCCTTGTTCCTTCAAAAACAGCTGCAAGAAAATTTGGAAATGTCCTGACCACGACCAAGCAGGAAACATGACAACATGAAGTGCCTGAAGACTTTTCTTAGGGAATGTGTTGCTTTATTCCATGTTTAAGTCTCAGGTGCCCCTTGAGGTGCATTTTGTATCAAACACAATGTAAATACCAGCTCAGAAAGAGCACTCAGAGCAGGAAAAGTTACATGGAGGAGGTTGACCGGTTATCAGAACAACACCAGAGAAAGCAGCCAATGTGAAACCCCACAAAAGCACAGGTCTTGCTGCTATGAAGTGCAGTGGCTGCCACCTCACACACACCATAGTTACCAAAACCCTGCACAGCAGCAAGAGCAGCAGAACAGCAAGCCTGCAAGAATGTACTTCACTGCAGAGTCCCTTCAACATTACATTCACTCTACAGTGTCTTAACAGGAAAAATGAAATTATGGTGAGAAGCAATACTGTAATACTGAAGTATTGGAAGCACATTTTAAAGAGTTTTGATGTTTCCAACCCCTTAAAAAAAAAAAAAAAAAAAAAAAAAAAAGGGACTAAAACAATACAAAAGAAAGAATAGGCCCTGACCACTTCCTTGCCTCTGGCAGGCAGCAGTGTTTTTCTCTCAGCACACAAAGTTATCAGCGAACAACAAATGGGAGAGAAGACGCCCTGAGCAGCATGCAGGCCTGGCCAGCAATGCAGGGAAGCAGAGCTGCTGGGCCAACCCCCTGTAATCGACAGCCCAAGGAGGCAGAGAAACCACGCTGTCCCACTGCGGCCATGGGAAGCCAATCCACTGCAACCTTTCCCCCTCGTTCAGTGCTTTATTAATAAAACAACGCTTTACTGCCTTGATCTCTCAAAGGCAGCTCAACAGAAAATCAATAGCCTCACCCAACAGCACACAGTTAAAGAGAAATAAAACACAGCAGCTCCTGTCGTTCTCACTAAGAGCTAGGAAATAAGGCCTAAAAATTTGTCTGTAGAACAGAAAGCCAAAGTAGGTGAGAAGATTCACAAATGTGTGAATACTTTCATTATAATCTCCTTCTAAATCAACGTGACATGTATACACAACGTGCACAAAGTCGGCTAATATTCCTAACACTTTAAAGCCTTGTTTAAAGAAAAGAATACAATTACAATATTCCTTAGGGGATAATTTGGGTGATCAAACTGTCACTTCGTAAAGGAACAGTACTTTAAAGGAAAACACTCTACATCAAAATCTGTCTTTGCTGTAAACAATTTTTGGCACAAGGAAACCTTGTATTATCTTTGACAAGAGAATTTTCCTGATCTTGTACCTTCCTAATAGCTGACTCCATACTTCTCTCATTCCAAGTCTAAAATAGAAATCAGCTGCCATCACTGCAGCTCCCTGCCACCTCTTTGGGTGGCACCCGCTGCCCACACTGTTGCTCCTGCTCCAGCAGCAACACCAGCAAGACCAATAAGGACCACCAAGGATGCACAACAGAGGTAACTTCTGCAGAAGCACACCTCTCCGGGAAGCAGATCTGCACTCTAAAGGCGTGATGCTCCTACAGCTCTGTGTCCTGTACTACTCCTTCTGCCCTCTGTGCAGCCCAAACCCACTGTGCTCACCAGCAGTCCCCAGCACCAAAGTACCCACCCATGCTGCGTATGCAACTCCGTGCATCCAACCTCTCTTATGTACTTCCACCATTTTTGAGAACTGCAGTGCTCTGACAGACAGGCGCTACCGTGGTGTTCATAATGCTCCCAGCCTCCCAGCTCTGTCCTACCTGCGCTCAGATTTCCCTGCTCACAGCTCAGCAAGGCCATCTAACAGAGGTGTTTGGATCCGGATGCATGGCTGTGTGGAGCTCCCGGCATCGCACCGTGCAACCCATTCCCAGAGCACGGCTGGGAAGCACACAGCGGTCAGACAAGCAGCACTACTGGCATCTCAGGAGTTGGGAAGGTGAACAAATCTGCACCTCGAAGAACAGCACCATCAGAAATGCACTGAGACCTGAGAAGGTTTTGTCACCTGCTGTCCTCAAGTCCACACCCACAGCCCCATGCAGCCAGAAGACAAGCTCCATGGCCACCTCTCCCCCCTGGCACAACCGCTCACACACCCTTCCCATGCCTTTGGGTAATCAGTGCATTCAGTAAACACGTCGATCAAAAAGAATCTGCTGTCATTCTCTGCTTGGCTTATTGGAGCCTCAGAGATCATCTATTCCTGCAAAAGGCAAATGACAAATCCCCTTCCCTGCAAACCCTACTGCCAGTTTGCTTTGGGAGCTACCTACCATCAGACCCAGCTGCCAAGCGCTCCAAAATCTCATTATTCCACAAAACCTTCTGATGACAAAGCCTTTTTTTCCCCTTCTGAAAAGTCATTTTTCATTTTCTTCCAGATTGCTGCCCCAACAAGTAAGGGCTGCCCATTGCTGACAACAGATCCCAGCTCTGGATGAAAGGCTCTGCTGTGGACATAACTAAAACGCTACAGAAGCACTTACAGTGTTTTTAATGTGTCAAATAACTACAAATTTGTAGAAGACTGAATACAAAAGCAAGACAGTATTCTAAATAAATACTAATCAACTTCATTAAACGGCCATTTGAAATGTTGCATCCCAACGGCTCCTAGCAGCAAAACCCACTGCAGCTCCATCCTGCCTGCACAGCCATTAACCACTGCACACAGCTCAGCAGTCAGTTGCTCCTTTTGGGTGTCTGAGGTCTTTCCATCTCTTCTCACATTTCAGTAGTTGTCATCTTGGAAATTCACCAGAGAAAATCCAGAAATCTAGCTCTGATTTTGCCATGCAGGCCTAGTTTGTAACAGAAAACTACTGAAGGATAAAGGTGTATTCCCATCTTAGGGGAGCAGTTCTGACACATGGGCTCACTCCATTCCATAGCATGGGAACCAGTGCCCTCCTCAATTTTTCTAAGACAGAAAGCATTGGTCTGCATTCTACAGACAGGAGACAACAAAGGCTTTTCCATACACAAGTGCTTCAGGAGAGATCTGTCTGAACCGTGGGTCACAAAGCACACTGAGATAAAGCCCAAAGACACCAACTAATCAAAAATTAATAATTCTCTCTGTAGATATTAGAATTGCTGTAACAAATATGCAAATATGTCAGGCACAAATGAAAAAAAAATCTGAATGCAAATTCAAAAAAATGCAGTCAACAAATTTCTACAATTCAGGATAAAAGGAGACTTGGTTTCTAGCAAAGCTAACACCTTATTGCAGAAGGTACTTTGAACGTATGACAGCAACACAAAACATAAGACAATGACAGAGAATGAAAACACTGATCCTGCAGAGCTTCCATTAGTCACCCCAGGCTGGCAGTTTCTCTTCCTCTGCCTTTGGAAGCCCCTCGGGAAGAGAGGCATGGATGGAAAGCTCCAGGGAGGCAGGACAGATGCTGGCTCTTGAGATGGCAATCTGAGGTGTTCATGTGTCAGATTATACTCTTCACCTGCATGTGAAGGAACACGAGTCAGGTGTTGGGTCAGTGCAAGTTTTAGAGAGTAGGAATTCAACAGCCAAACCCCATCTAGCTCATATTACAGAGCAACTTAGCAGACAGCATGTTTCCAGCACTTCACAAACCATTTGTTCAGCTGCATGCTGCCACAGTACTGCTCTCTTGCTACAGGTAAAGCAGTACAGCAATGAGCAACCTCTTAAATGGCTTAATTTTGCTTTGTCTTACCAGCAGTGTGAAAAATGGAAGCTCTCTTAGGAGGAGGACTGCCATAGTAGGTTAGTTGGAACAGAAAGTGGACACATTCCCAGTACCAAGATTGATATAAAAAGCAGGATAATACTATAAAAATGTGTAGCTTACTTTGTGCCTTTTCACAGAAGTTTATCTGAAAGCCTAAAGCAAAAGAGACAAGTTCTTGTTCATTTACTGCAAGTCAAAGAAGTGCATCACTTAAGATACATATTTATGCTTCAAAATTCATTAATTAACACAAAAAATCATACATAAAACAAGTTTCTTAGACCAACAGACCACGTTCTTTGATTGTAGAGAAATTCCATCATTTCAGGATTCATCATTTCATAAACGAGTCTCAAGAGCCCAGAGAGGGGTTTATTTCCTTATGGTGTTAATAAAATTCAAACTGTAACAGCTGGGGGACCATTGTCAGAAAACTGCTTGGAAAGAACTATCAAGAGAGTCTGGTGGTAAAAGGTAACACGCTTGAAAACTGAAGAGGTTGTTTTGTCCCCCAAAAGCCAAGGAGCTCCTCCATGCTGCTCAGTGGTATTTGAGCATGTAGAGTCCGATTGGCTGCATATGCTGGGTGAACCATATTTTAGAGCTGGCATGGCCACATTGCAACCCCTCTGTTCCCCCTCTGCAGACAAACAACCCAACCATATCTGAAAGAGCCGCCTGTGATCCAGCAGACTCCAGTGCTGCTGGTATCAACACACACACATGCCATCTTTGGGAGCTGCTGGCCTCCATTTTAGACCATTTTATCCCTAAAACTGACAAGAATTCAAGGGCTGCTCAAAGAGGACCTGAACACGATGCTAGCGATGGGCTCTGCAACAACACAACGAGCACCAGTGCAGGTGCAGGGCACCGGTGCAGCTGCCCCACAGCGGGCCCTGCACAGCCTGCCAGCAGCAGTGCTGATCCACCAGGCCCTCACCAGCACTGCTGGCCTAGCACATGGAAATGGATGCTCTCCTGTGGTGTTTGCAATGTCTGAATCAGCCCCTTTAGCCCAGAACCTGTTCTACAACAATCACGGAATCACTTCAGTTGGAAAAGATCTCAAAAGGTCACGTCCAACCATCAACCCAGCACTCCTATGCCCACCACTAAACCATGCCCCTAAGCACCACATCTGCACAGTTTAAATATCTCCTGGGATGGTGATTCCCTGGGTAGCCTGTTCCAATCTTTTGTAACTCCCTCTGTAATTAAATGTTTCCTAACATCCAACCTAAACCTTCCCAGCATAATTTGAGGCTACTTCCTCTTGTCCTGGTGCTTACTAATTAGGAAAAGAAACTGACCCCCACCCCTCCTCAGAGGTCACTGTAGAGAGCAATAAGGTTTTCCCTGAGTCTCCTTGGAACCCCAGATCCCTCAGCTGCTCCCCTTTCACCAGCTTCACTGCCCTTCTTTGGACACACTCCAGAAGCTCGTTGCCCTTCCTGTAGCAAGGGGCTCAAAACCAAACAGTATTCAAGGTGCAGCCTTATCACAGCCATATACAAGGGGCAATCATTTCCCTGCTTCTACTGGCCATACTATTTCTTATACAAGCCAGGATGCCACTGGCCTTCTTGGCCACACTGCTGGCTCCTGTTCAGCCAGCTATCAAACAGCACCCGTAAGGCAGCTTTCCCGCCGTTCTTCCCCCAGCCTGTAGGGTTGCATGAGGCTATTATGGCACAAGAGCAGGACCCAACACTTTACCTTGTTAACCTCATACATTTGGCCTCAGCCCATGCACAGAGCCTATCCAGATGCCTCCATAGGGCCTGTAGAGCCTTCCTATCCTCAAGAAGATCAACACTTGTGCCTCACTTGGCGTCATCTGCAACGCACCATGTTACGTCCACACAACATGTTTCTGCTGTCAGCTGTGGACCTCACTGTGATGCCTTCTGTAACTGGTGCCCCTCCCACCTGCAGGCACAACAGTCTCCTGAATAAGAATTAACTGCTTTAAAACATTTTTCTCTCTCTGACAGCATGCAAAATCTTAAAAATAACCAAAGAGCAGCAAAAGTAAACTGGCAATATGTTCAGAGGGCAAGAAGAAAACAAGAACAGTAATTAAAATAACCCACTTATATCTACCAATGTTAATTTCAAAACTCTGAAATTAAATTAATAACAATAATATAAGTGTATCAGTAAAAATTTAAAAAATGCTTCAGCCAGGCACCCGGCTGGCAGGATAACATCAAAATGACAAAGGGAGAAAGACAGAACAGTTTTTTATTCCACAAGAGAAGTTCCTTTTCCTCTCTACAAAAGCAACTTAGCTTGCCAGTTTGCTGTTTTGCCCTAAAGTTTCTTCCCATTCTTCTGGCTCATCCCTTCACCTCTGCTTTACTCAATGTTTCTTTCTCAGTTCCCAGCTGAGGGACAGGCCCACACGCTGCAGAGCTGTTCAGCTGCACTACGGCTGTTAGAACAGATTCTCCGATTACATTTTCGTGTTCAGAAATCGTTAATGCCACTTCAATCTACTGCTAGTTTTCTTTCTGATCGTTCCTTTACTTTCCTTTTAACTATGTTCTTACAAGCTGCCATGCCAGACATGATTCTGCTGAGTGTTATACAAGTTTTGTTTATTTTTTTTTTCCAAGGTCCCTCAACTAGGGGAAGACACAAAGCTTTGCTGTTGAAGAAATGAGCACCAGAGCATTTCAAAACAATTTTCTCAAGCCCACTGGCTTTTGAAAGCCCTTGGAAAAAAGTTCCACTCCTGTGCAGAGGGCAGGCAGGTCTTCAGCACGGAAGGAGCCTGGGAGTCTGCCCAGCTAATCCCCTCGGTGTCACATTGGGTAACAGAAGACTGCTGCAAAAATACCAGCCAGTAGCCACAACACAGATCCAGCTATCTTCTTCCCTTGTCCTCATCCTCATTAACTCTTTATCACTCAGAGATCCTTAAAAAAGGCAATCATACATCAGTTCTGCTTACAAAACTTGAGTGCCATACGGTAACATCAAAGTATCCCCCCAGCTGTGAAAATTCTTGCAAGGATGTCAGAGCAGTACAAAGAAAACAGTTTTCTGAGTGCAACCAACAGCCAGAAGCAACACTGCTCATCACCTGCCTCAAGTCTTCACCCAGAGAAAACTGACCTGCAACACGTGGTTTAAGACTGAGGTTTTTCAACTACTGCAGGACTTTCAACTTTTAGCCAAGATGCTGTTTAACACCACCCCAGAATCAGGGATGCTGTGCTCATCTGTGATCAGGGCGGATCCAAACCTAGTCCCAGCACAGCCTCCCAGTGGCTCTCACTGTGGCCCTGAGGCAGCATGGAGTGCAGCAGCTGCAGGCACCCAGCCTGCTCCTGCCACATGAAAGTCTGCAGGAAAGCGATGAATTCCAAAGTCACTGCAAAAAACTTCCTAACACTGAGAACAGAGAATCCATTTCCTGAAAAGGATGGCAGAGGTTGGCTCTTTCAGCCCAGCCAAAGGCATGCCAAGACAAGAACACTGAACCGCAAACAAGTACAAGGCATTAAAAAGGAGTAGCAGCACCTATGTTGAAAACTAAAGATGACAGAAGATCAGCAGTTACAAAGTTGTCAAGAAATTAACATGATCTGGCCCCTGACAGGTTTCTAGCTACTGATCCAAATCCTTCAGTTGTCCTCTGGAAACCAGAGCAGAGGTGCATCAGAACTGCTTTAAAAAGGAACTTGATATGTTTACAAGGAGTCAGCAGCAGAAAGGCATCCTTACTGGAGACAAAACATGAAACCTGTGGCAGGATCTCTGGGGCACACAGCTTGTTAGTGCCTGTATGGGACAGCACGGGGTTACTGTGCAAGCCATGCTGCAGCATGCGTGCACTGGGAAGGAATGCTGCCACTGCATTCCCACTCTGAGATTTTATTTTATTGGTAAGAGAGATTTTCTTGTCCTGATTGCTCAGCTCTGGACAACAGCTCTGGGCTTCCAGTCTCGACCAGTTGCACAAAGCGAAGTACGAGGATGACCAGCACCATCTTCTCCCCTCCTTCCTGCTTCCACCCATCCACGTTTCCAAGTAGGATGTGAAGAAAGACAAGGAGATCAAAGATTGGGCAAGGTTTCCAACTGCTTGGCCCAAGACCAGGTCCTGCACTGACACTGCTCCATAGAGGAAGCAGTCTTTACAGGAAAACTCGGACACAGTCCCATTGCTCCCCAGAAGGGATTTCCAAATACAATGCTTTTATCTCATTCCATAGCCCCTCCCAGGTCAAAGAAACACCACCATGTGTTTTTAAAGGAAACTGTTTTATCTTTGTCCACAAACCTCTTCAAAGTACAAACACCCTGCTCTCTGGTCCAAAAGCGAAGTGATGCCTAACTCAGTTCAGAGAACTCTTCCAGAGAATCAGGTCCAAAGCAAACCATAAAACTCTCTTGGTCTACAGAAAAAAACAAAGCCTGGACAAAATATGATAAATAGATTGATTCCCTTTTAGCATTGCTTTGTCTGCTCCCAGCAGCTGTCCTCCTTCCGCCAAAGGGTATCTCCTGAAGCATCTCAGGAAGATCAGGTAAATTATTCAAGACACAGACTAACTCCTGGCGCTTGGACTCTTTGTTCACTCCATGATCAGTGCAAGTTGTCTGCTTCTTGAAGGGCTCACATTGCCTCCAGGAAAGGGCACACACAAAAGCTTCAATTTGGAGAAGAGGAAATCAATCTAATAGCTAATAAATAAGCAATTTGTGCAACACACGTATTTCCTGTCTCCCTAGATGATCATACAGAAGTTAATGGGCCATACCCTGCTAAGCACAAAGTTACTGCACACATTCATGAGAACTGCACCTTATCTCATTTCAAAGCAGAACTGGGAGGCAGAAGGGGAGTGGAGGATTGGCAACACCACACTGCATTTCCTCACTAACAGCAATAGTTTGCTCCACTGAGGCCATGGCCTCAGGAGGCAAGGTCACACATTTTGGAAGATGCTTTGTGTCATCACATGATGGTCTTGACACAAAACCCAGCCAACAGTGTCTAAGCAGGGAGCAGGCACCCAGCAGGCTGTGTGAAGATTTCTGCAAGGACCTTTATTTACAGTCCAATCTTCTTCCAAAAGCATTCACAACTACACACAGAAACTTAAAGAAGTCTGTGACATCTCACAAAAATCATGTCCAAACCTTTCAACTTAACCATAGAGAGACTTATGTCTCTCTATGCACAGCACAGCACTGCTGCACAAACCGCAAAACTCATTCTGACAAGAGGCACTTCAGTAGACCATGAAACACATGGCACAACTTAAAGCCAAAAAAGGGGCAGGCAGGAGGGATCCTGATAGCCTCCTGCAGGCACCCACTATACACAGTTTAAACTAGCTTAAAACAGAGCAAAGTGAAGTTAAAACTGAAGTCAGACATGCGATCTGCCTGGAGCAGCACAGCCAGGAAGTGCAGGTGCCACCAAGTTAAAGAGGCAGAGAGGAGCTGGGGCTCCTACACACAGGGTCCTACAAGTGCTGCCGGCCCACCCTTAACACCAAAGTTCAGTTGCCTACTAAAAGAGCTGAGCCTCAGAATCTTTCTCCGATACCCTTCAAACAGAAGCGCCAACACCACCAAAGACCCACGTGCACGAAGGACAGCCCTGCTCCAGCTGTTCTGGGGTCCGAGCCCCAAAGAGGCACCGTGTTCAGGTGCTCTGTGAGTTGAACTGCAGAAGTGCAGGCAAAGCGTCTCCCTGGGGATTTACCATGAGTTCACTACTGCACGTTAAGTAATACAGCTACAGCAACACACTTTTTTATAAGGGAAGCATTTTTTTCAGTGACCAACAGGCACTGCATTTACCTACTGCTCACACATTTCTGCTGCAACACTAAAAAGAGATGTGAGTGGAGACAGGACAAGGGGAAATGGCCGGAAACTGCAGCATAGGAAGTTCTGCACAAATATGTGCAAGAACTTCTTTACAGTGAGGTGACGGAGCACTGGAACAGGCTGCCCAGGGAGGTGGTGGAGTCTCCTTCTCTGGAGATGTTCAAGACCTGCCTGGATGCCGACCTGTGCAACCTGGTGTAGGGAACCTGCTTTGGCAGGGGGTTGGACACGATGATCTCTGGAGTCCCTTCCAACCCCTACAATTCTGTGATTCCGTGTGATTCTGTGTGATTCTGTGATAGCCAGAAGTTCAGGGCCCCACACAGGGAGCACCAGCAGGCTGGAGAAAGGTGCTGCAGGAGTCGCGCTGGCACACTCAGCAGCTGCCCAGAGAGACTCTTTGGGTTGGGACAACATTGCAATGCCTATCACTACTGATCAACCAAAATGATATGAACAAAAATCAGCTTAAATGTGTAATAAATACTAGACCAGCTTACTTAAAGATGCAGGTGACTGGTATCTTGACAGGGACTGAGCTTCTCTTTGTAGAAGAGATGTTAGAACCAAATCACGCAGCATTGGGTTCAACAACTAGTGAAACATTTGTTCTTCTTTCCTAGTCAGAACATACAACAATAAAAATCCATCCTGAGCAGGAAGCCATGGAAGCACTCATGTCCCAGGAACTAGGTGACAACCCCACAGTCACAAGGAAGATGTTCAGCTGGCAATGCCAAGGGCATTTTCCTCTGACCAGCACAGCCATCTCCACTTCCCCACAGGGAATGCTTTGGTCTCAGCACACAGACAGGAAGGCAACAAAAATAAGTATAGCTAAGGAAGAATACAAGTCAGTACTTTAAAAAAGGTACATCAGATCTGGAAACACAACCAGCACCTTTTGAAAGACAGTCTGTATTAACACACCCAAACCTTTCAGAGAGTGCCAGAAGCAGAACATCCATTCAGACATTTTTGTACCTTAATAAACATAACTGTGGTGAAACTTGGATGGACGTCTGCTGCCGACTCCTGCCCACAGGGCAGTGTGGCACAAACACCCCAAGCAGATTCTCTCACAGTTTTTCCTTCCAGCCCCTACTGGCTACGGCAGCTACCCCTCCCATTAGGGAGCAAGCCTCCAGAGTATTTTATCAAGCTGAAATCCAACAAGTGATGTCTGACTTCAAAGGCAGTAGTCATGCCCAACTACAAGACGCTAACAAGGAGGTTATGTTTGTCTCATACACGTATGGCTTGATGCATCCACAATTATCCACATAATTAATGTTTCACTCTATACACATATGGACTATGAATTGACTTCATTTTGGGAACTTGTTGGTAAAATTAAGTTCAGAAAGTTGGGGGGAAGGGGTTTTTTTTGGTTGTTTTTTTGCTTCCTCACGGCAGTCCTCTCCCTCACCTTATGGTCCTTGTATTGACAGACAGTGGTGTTTCCCCCTCTGTCAGTTCCATCAAGTCAGCATAAAGTAACACACAAATCTTCTTTCACCTGATGAGACTTAATTAGCATTTTTGGACTGCCCTTTTAACAGGAAAGCAGATATACTGGAAATGTCAGCTGATTACAAGTAAACCAAAGCTGAAAACTGAAAGGCAAAACTAATCCTTACCAAGAAATGCAGTACCACACACAGAAGTGCACTTAAACAAGCACACAGACAGGAGCCCAACTGTGTCCTGGCAGAGCCACAGAACAGGGATGAGTTGGTGAGCACAAACTGAAGTAACATTTGCTCACCAGAGAAGGGTCTTTACCTCCTACAACAAAAGCAAACATGTCCAAACTGATACGCACAAAACAATCTGACAAATTTGCTACTGTCAATCTACAACAGCACTGTATGTTAACATACCAATTTCAGAATTCCTTTGTGAGCACTGATAACTGCAGTCAACTTTCTATTTTATTCAACCAGTTCCCATCTGCTAAAGACATAATTCACTTTACCCACATTAGAATAACAACAGGTCATTAATATGCAGTGAAAGATAGCATATGGTTTACTACTTATTAAGGACAAGGATTAATCTTCTCCTCCTCTCCTCTTTTTACCTTATGCTTTCCTATTTTCTTTGTTTTCTTATCTGTATTACCACTTGCATTTTCACTGGCTATCCGAACACTGCTTCATACCTAACCTGCTACTCACGCAGCTCTTTGCTTCATGACTGCCTTCTTGTTCTCCAAATTCCATTCTTTGTGGTTCCTTAAGCAAATTGCCATGAATAGAGGTACTCATTTCCTCACTTTCTCTGCACATCTCACCTCCCTGGAGAAGTCCACCTGCCAGCCTTTTCCCTGCCCGCTACCCCCAAGGCCACCACCAGCCCATCTGCACACAGACTCATGAGCCACTCACTGCTGGCGTGGCTCCGACCACAGAACAGGGGCAGTGCCCACACTGTGCTCTGTTCAGAATCAGCCCAGATGCACCAGGGTCTTGTCTCCCCTTCTGCTGCCAGGAGCTGCCCACTCATTCTCTCCACACAGAGGCAGCAGCATCAGAACCAGCAAGTGCACTGAGAGGCCCTGGCTTGCTTACAGCACTCTTGGGATGGTGAATGCAGGAGCTGGATGCACAACAGTCACAAGCACTTCAGCTCTTGCTTGGCTCTAGAGATACAGTGACTGACTTCTCAGACCTCAGTTAGAATTAAATTTTATATACACCTTTGAATTAATTAAATTTCTAATTTTTATAGCAAAATTTTTCAAAGTTGCAGTAAAGAGTATCAATAATTCAGTCAGTAGAATCATAGAATGGCCTGAGTTGAAAAGGACAACAAGCATCATCTGGTTCCAACCCCCTGCCGTGTGCAAGTCACCCACCAGCAGCCCAGGCTGCCCAGAGCCACATCCAGCCTGGCCTCGAATGCCTGCAGGGATGGGGCATCCACAGCCTCCTTGGGCAACCTGTGCCAATGCCTCACCACCCACTGGCTGAAAACTTCCTCCTCATATCCAACCCAAACCTCCCCTGTCTCACTTTAAAATCATTCCCCTTGTCCCATCACCATCCACCCTCACAAACAGCCGTTCCCCCTCCTGTTTTTATGCTCCCTTCAAGCACTGGAAGGCCACAACGAGGTCTCCCCAGAGCCTTCTCTTCTCCAAGCTAAACAAGCCCAGTTCCCTTAACCTTTCTTCAGAGTAAAAGAATGCAAAATTGCTCAGACTACTATTTTGTTCTTGTGTTTTCATTTTTACATTTTCTAAAGCCACTCTCAAAGTGGGATATCTTACTTCCCACAGAACCTGTTTCACCCACAGTGAAATGAGGACACCAAATACACAAGACTGTTCCTGGGCTTTTACTGTTGCACATAACTAAGAGGGTGTCATGGTTTTATGATTTTTGGTCATCAGTATTCCACACCATAACATCATGTAATGCACTGGGGATGGTGTTTGATATCTGCCGAATGTTCGTCCGTCGGAGAAGAACTACATTTCCCCAGGAGGCTTTGCGGTCAGCAAGGGGATATAACTCCATGCAAGGTCACCTGAGCTCGCTTCTTCGCCTGCTCTTCGCTGTCTGCGCTTCGCTGTCTGCGCTTCGCCGCCTGCGTTTTGCCATCTGCACTTCGCCGACTGTACTTCAGTCACTCAACTGGACTGCACTTCTCACCCCAGGATTGTGGTGAAGTCTATACAATTCAAACAGACTCTCTCTCTCTCTCTCTCTCTCTCTCTCTCTCTCTCTCTCTCTCTCTCTCTTTGTAGTTTACTAATACTATATTTAGTAAAATCATTTGTTCCACCTCAGATCAGTGCTGTTGTTTTTCAAGTATTTTGGGGTCCCCTGCTTCCCCTTTCCCAGAGGCGCGGATCCGCAGATCCCTCCGCCCTGCTGGTCACGGAACTGGGCCGGACCAGCCCATAAACCGTTGACAGAGGGAAAGCAATTTCTCACATCATCGGTCACCAGTGCACTGAAACAGGCCACTATTTGTATACACACACACATACACAAAAAAAAGTAAAACCTATTTTCAGTACTTAAGATTCCAGCTCTCCTTTGTCTCTGATCTGTCAACCGCGCACTGAACAGAACCACACTTGCCAGGGGGATGCTCTGGGAAGGAGTGAAGTTCCCAGGTGCATGGGCACAACAGCAAACGCCATCAGCCAGGGAGACATAGGAATGAATCTGGACATGCAGAACAGGAAGGGCACGAAGACCTGAAGCACCACTTTGCTTGACTACAAGGCTTGAAGGCCTCCAGAAACCAGTGCTATCTGAGGAGTAAGAGCTTTGCCAGCTGTGGCAGCAGCTCCCTTCTTCCAACCGCTCGCTCTTATTGCCTCCCTTACAGCAGCAGTTGCACAAGTTAGCTTTGAGAATGCTTCTGGCTGAAAATTAACTCATCAGAACTTTTTTTTTTTTTTTTTTAAATATACTATAATTACTCCACAGTTTAATGACTTCCCTGCTCTACCTTGTCATACCATTTAAGCCAATTAAAACAATACCAAGGCAGTCCTACTTGCTTCTGTCCCCACCCAGCAACGCATTCCTGAGCATTCCTTGCATCAGCACTCACCCAGCCCCACCACAAGCAAATGTTGGGCACCCAAAAGAGAGAAAACTCGATGTGTTGCTTTCAGGTGATTTGCTTTGCAGCATTCAGTTTGCGGAGACATTGGTGTCAATAGGGAGCCAGCACCAGGAAGAGCAGGGAAGCACACTGGGGATGAGGCCATGGCACTTTGCAGGGCAGCAGCACCTGTGTGGGTGCCTGCAGAGCTACCTGCAGAGCCAAACAACCCTTCCTGCCGCAGCTTTCCTCATCTTGTGCAGCCAGGAGGTCCCTGCCAGCTTCAGGACTTCTCCACCACTGTGGCAGCCACGTGCTCACCTCTGCCACAAGGACCCCTGGAGCCACCTGGGTCCCTACGCCTCAGCTCCTCCCAGGACACCTCAACACATCTGTTCACGTAAGGAAAAAAAAAAAAAACAAAAAAACACAACTATTTATTTAACACCAGATTTCACTGCAAACACTTGCATATCATCAAAATGGTCTGACTCTATGAATTCACACCTAAAAAGGCACTCCAAAGGAAGTGCAAAGGAAATGACTGCCATCCCTCACAGGATATTTCTGTCACTGCAAACTTACACTGCATCACAGATCCTCATGTCAGCACAGAACTAACCTCAGCCCTGAAGATACATGGGATTCACAGCAATGATTCATAAATATGGGTCAGGTGGAAATAAAGGGGGCAATACAAAAGTTATAACAGCACTGCAAGATGGCTATTTCTGGTCTTAGCACAACTGCACCTTCAGTCAGTCTTTAACCCATCCACTTTACATTGAGAGGTCTGAGATCGTGGTTTTTGAAGGGTACTGTAAACATGCACGGTATTACTTTCCCAGCACCAACAGGTCCTTCCTTGGTCTGACAAACACTGGACCTTCACACACAGATCTGGTTCTGAGAATACCAAACTCTGCAGTTTATGTAATCAGCTCTCCACCCAAACAGGTCCCCAACAGCCTCCACATCGGTGCCGCCTGCCCCAGCAGGACAGAACAGACTTATAGCAAACTGTGCTCTTCTGCCATAACCACAGAGAGCACGACCTTCCCTTCTGGTCTCTTCGAAAAAGGAAAATGCAAACAGATTCCTAAGTACCACCATCCTTGTATTAAACTAAAAAGTCATAAACCTGCACTATGCAGCCTCAGTCTGATACCAGTTAAAACGTTGCTCGAGTAGGGAGTATTTTTCAGAGGTGCAGCTTTAAAGAGAAAACTCCAAAGGTATTCACTTGCGACTTTCCAAAAAGTGAATATCCATGGTTTCTGCAAGAATACTCTGCCACTAGCAAGCACAGATGGGAATGCTGGCAACGTTACCCTGCAGTAATAACCGTACATTTCCATAAAACAAACAACAACAGCAAAATTAACCACAAGTTCACCATTAAACTGTTTTTACTTAAACATCTGTCTGCAGACAAACACACACAGAGACACGCAGGCCCAGGAGGCGCGGAGCAGCAGCGAGGATCCCAGCTCGGTGCCGCAGCAGAACGCGACACTCCTCGGGCTGCGGCCCACCCTCCCGGGCTCGGTCCGCGGCGCATCCCGGCGCGTTCTTCCTGCCGCGCCGACCCCAAAGCGCTAAGTTCCATTCGGGCGTCGCACACACACGGCACGGCCGCAGCCCGCGGTCCGATGGGGCGTTTCGCCACCCGGGGATGAGACAGATCCACGCACGGCACGACGCGCAGCGCACCCGCGGGGAGCCGGAGAGAGACCCCCGGCCTTTGTCTCGTTCCTCCCGGCCTTCCCTACCCCGGCCCCTCCCCAGGGAGCCGACCGCTCGGGGCCGCGGCGCCACAGAGCAGCGCACCGAGGCGGCCGGAGCCGCCCGTCCTCCTGGGGAGCCCTCGGCGGCAAAGCGGGAGTGGCGAGGGGGAAGCCTCGGCCCCGGGGGGGGGTGGATCCCGGCGCCACGCCGGGCCGCGGGCCCCGGCCCGCCCGAGGAGGGCCCGGCGCGGGGGGCACGGGGCGGCCGGCGCCGCCGACCCCGCGGGAGAAGCCCTCGGCAGCGCCCGCCCCGCTCGCGTGCGGCCCGCGGAGCCCGCCGCGCCCCAGGGGAAGCTCCCCTCTCGCCCCGAAGCGGCCGCGCCGGTCCCAGGCGGAGCCGCGGGGTCGCCGCGCGACGGCCGCCGCCCCCCGGGCCGGCCCTCGGAGGCCGCCAGAGCCGCAGGCGGAGCGGGGCCGCGCCGAGGCCTAGAGCGGGGAGCGCCGCCCGGCCCGGAAGCGGCGGCGGCGGCGCGGCCTAGCGCGGGGCCGCTTACCCTGCATGCTGCTGACGGCCGCGTGCGCCGGCGGCCCGCCCGGGCCCGGCCCGCTCCCTCCGCCCGAGCCGGAGCCGCTGCTGGGGCTGGGAGTCGCCATTGTGCGCGCCGGAGACGGAGCGGCGCGGAGCCTGCAATGCAGCAGGGACCCTCCCAGGCAGGACACCTAGAGCCCCGCCGCCGTATAGCAGGCGCCGGAGCCTCGCCGTCCGCCCCCGGGCTGGGGCTCCCGCTTAACCCCTCCCAGGCGGGGCGCCCGCGGCCGCCCAGGCTGCGTTCCGCTGCGGCGGCGGTGCGGGCCCGGGCCGCTGCCTTCCCCGTGAGGCCGACGGCCGGGCCCGGGGTCTGCCGCCCCCCGCCCCGCTCTTCGCTTCCAGGGCGGCCCCTCCCCGCCGCCGTGCCCGTGCCCCGCGCCGCCGGGCCGCTCGGCGTTGCGTACTGCCCCCCCCCCCCGCACGTCCTCCTTCGGAGCCACCTCCGCTCCCTTCCCCCGGGGGGCAGCGCCCGGCTGCGGGTGGGCAGCAGCTGGTGCCTCCGTCTCCTGGCCGCTGTCCCCACCCCCACACCCAGCACCGCTGTGCTGCGTCCCTCTTGCTTTCGCCTGCAGTGCTCCCCACCAGGGAGACGTTGCTCACTCCCACCAGGACTGGCCATCATCCACTTTTGGGCCACTGCGTGCCCTCCATGAGCCCCGTGTGTGCCGTGATCCCAGTGTGATGGTGTGCCCCACTGTTTCACCCAATGAACTTGTTTGACCAGGAGTGCCCAACCTTCTTGTTTCCCTGGTCTCTCATCTCCGCCTCGGATCGGGCCAGCAGTTTGTCCAAGCAGTACCACATTTCTCAACACACAA